GGAAGTTAACTAAAATTTATTAATTGGTAATATTATGTATGGTATTATATTCTATAATATAATTGGTAATATTATTGTTCAAGTATAATAGAAACCCTAATTTTAATTCGTAATATAATAAAAACCATAGCTGTGACCAGCCCTCTTAATTTATAATGTATACTATAATATAAAAAAAAAAAATCCTATTTACCTGAATTTCAGCCCAAACAATAGCAAATAGTAAATGTAAATTAAAAAATAAAAAAATAAAAAGGAACAGAAATATTCCACAATAATATTCTACATTATCAAATACAAATGGAACGGAAATTAGGTAAATTCAAAAATGAAATGAATATTAATAATTGACTGAAAATTAAAAATTAAAAAAAAAAAAACAATGACAATTAGGTTAATTGGAATGAGAAATAAATATTAATAATTGGATGGAAAAAAATATCCATAATTGACTAAAATGGAAAAGGAAATGGTTTGATCATTACTTTTAAATTTTTCTCTTTAATATTATACGGTAGAATAAATCAAATCACAATTATATCATAAATATTTCACAAATTTAAACAATGGAACGAAAATTAAAAATAGAACAAAAATATTTAAATAATAATATTCTACAACATCAAATAAAGGTAAATTTAAAATGAAAACAAAATATTGCATTAAGAATTTTCTACATCATCAATAGTAAAAATAATTTTTTTTTAATTACAAAGGAAGGGGATACCCACATATACTATCTACGCTTACACCAAAGCTCGAACCTAAGACATCCCACATAAGGGGCCAACTGGATACTAGTGGACCACAAGCCACTTGGTATAGTAAAGATAAATTAAAAATAGAACGAAAATTAAAAATGAAACGAAAATATTTCAATAATAATATTCTGCATCATCAGTTAAAATTGGAATGAAAATTATGTAAAAATATCACTGCATCTAATTTCTAATTAACTCATTGACTGAAAAAAGAAAAAAAATAATTGGATAATAATGAATATGATTTTATTAATTGACTGAAAATATAAAAGGAATAACTACAAATAAAAAATTATTCATAATTGACTAAAGTGAACAACAAATGGTCATATTATTTAATTTTTCCCGCCCAAACTTTTGTAGTCAATTAATTAAATATTTTATTGGTCAAATAATTAATAAAACTTATTTAGTAAGAAAATGTAAAATGGAAGTTAACTAAAATCTATTAATTGGTAATATTATGTATCGTGTTATATTCTATAATATAATTGGTAATATTATTGTTCAAGTATAATAGAAACCCTAATTTTAATTCGTAATATAATAAAAACCATAACTGTGATCAGCCCTCTTAATTTATAATGTATAATATAATTTTTAAAAAAAAATCCTATTTACCTGATTTTCAGCCCAAACAATAGCAAATAGTAAATGTAAATTAAAAAAAAAATAAAAAGGAACATAAATATTTCACAATAATATTCTAAATTATCAAATACAAATGGAACGGAAATTAGGTAAATTGAAAAATGAAATGAATATTAATAAGTGACTGAAAATTAAAAATTAAAAAAAGAATGAAAATTAGGTTAATTGGAAAGAGAAATAAATATTAATAATTGGATGGAAAAAAAAAGATCCATAATTGACTAAAATGGAAAAGGAAATGGTTAGATCATTACTTTTAAATTTTTCTCTATAATATTATACGGTAGAATAAATCAAATCACAATTATATCATAAATATTTCTCAAATTTAAACAATGTAACGGAAATTAAAAATAGAACAAAAATATTTAAATAATAATATTCTACAACATCAAATAAAGGTAAATTTAAGATGAAAACAAAATATTTCCTTAAGAATATTCTACATCATCAATAGTAAAAATAATTTTTTTTAATTACAAAGAAAGGGGATACCCACATATACTATCTACGCTTACACCAAAGCTCGAAACTAAGACATCCCACATAAGGGGCCAACTGCATACTAGTAGACCACAAGCCACTTGGTATAGTAAAGATAAATTAAAAATAGAACGAAAATTAAAAATGAAACGAAAATATTTCAATAATAATATTCTGCATCATCAGTTAAAATTGGAATGAAAATTATGTAAAAGTATCACTGCATCTGATTTCTAATTAACTCATTGACTGAAAAAGAAAAAAATAATTGGATAAAATGAATATGATATTACTAATTGACTGAAAATATAAAAGGAATGACTACAAATAAAAAATTATTCATAATTGACTAAAGTGAACAACAAATGGTCATATTATTTAATTTTTCCCGCCCAAACTTTTGTAGTCAATTAATTAAATATTTTATTGGTCAAATAATTAATAAAGCTTATTTAGTAAGAAAATGTAAAATGGAAGTTAACTAAAATCTATTAATTGGTAATATTATGTATGGTATTATATTCTATAATATAATTGGTAATATTATTGTTCAAGTATAATAGAAACCCTAATTTTAATTGAGTTAATACCCAAAATCGTCCTCGACTATAGTGGTTTTTCTCAATTTCGTCCTAAACGACTTTGGTGACCTAATATCGTCCCAGACTTTTGTGTTTCGCTCAATTTAGTCCTAGACTTTTGTGTTTTTGCTCAATTTAGTCCCTCATTTGTTATTCTGTCCATTTGGTGTTAAATAAATAGACAATTCAGTAATTTTAATATTGACATCTCTTTACTCATAGACATGTGAACTGCGAAATCCTTTTTCTTTTACGAATTACTCCCATAATTACTCCTAAAACTGCGAATATAAAATTTGATTTGCAAGTTCGGGAGTAATTCTGGGTGTAATTCGTACAAGAAAGAGGAATTTCGCACTTCACAAGTTGAAAGTAACGAGAGATCAATATTGACATTACTGAATTGTCCCTTTATTTAACACCAATTTGATGGAATAACAAATGGAGGACTAAATTAAGCGAAACACAAAAGTCTGGGACGATATTAGGTCACCAAAGTCGTTTAGGACGAAATTGAGAAAAACTACTATAGTCGAGGACGATTTTGGGTATTAACTCAATTTTAATTCGTAATATAATAAAATCATAACTTTGACCAGCCCTCTTAATTTATAATGTATACTATAATTAAAAACAAAATCTTATTTACCTGATTTTCAGCCCAAACAATAGCAAATAGTAAAGATAAATTTTAAAAAAATAGAAATTAAAAAGGAACAGAAATATTTCACAATAATATTCTACATTATCAAATACAAATGGAACGGAAATTAGGTAAATTGAAAAATGAAATGAATATTAATAATTGACTGAAAATTAAAAATTTAAAAAAAAAAAGAATGAAAATTAGGTTAATTGGAAAGAGAAATAAATATTAATAATTGGATGAAAAAAAAAAGATCCATAATTGACTAAAATGGAAAAGGAAATGATTAGATCATTACTTTTAAATTTTTCTCTATAATATTATACGGTAAAATAAATCAAATCACAATTATATCATAAATATTTCACAAATTTAAAAAATGGAACGGAAATTAAAAATAGAACGAAAATATTTCAATAATAATATTCTACATCATCAAGTAAAGGTAAATTTACAATGAAAATAAAATATTTCATTAAGAATATTCTACATCATCAATAGTAAAGGCATATTTTAAACAATAGTAAATATAAATTAAAAATAGAACGAAATTTAAAATGAAACAAAAATATTTCAATAATAATATTCTGCATCATCAGTTAAAATTGGAATGAAAATTATGTAAAAATATCACTGCATCTGATTTCTAATTAACTCATTGACTGAAAAAGAAAAAAATAATTGGATGAAAATGAATATGATATTACTAATTGACTGAAAATATAAAAGGATTGACTACAAATAAAAAAAATATTCATCATTGACTAAAGTGAACAACAAATGGTCATATTATTGCATTTTAATTAAAAATTGGACAGAAATATTTCAATAATAATATTCTACACCATCAATAGTAAATGCATATTTTAAACAATAGTAAAAGTAAATTAAAAATGGAACATAAATATTTTAATAATAATATTTTACACCATGAATTAAAAATAGAACGAAAATTAGGTAAAAATATCACTATATGTGATATTCTAATTGACTGACTAAAAGAAAATAAATAAAAAAAGAATAATTGGCTAAAAATGAATATGATATTACTAATTGACTGAAAATATAAAAGGATCACTAATTGACTGATATTCTACGATTATATATTTTCATCCGAGTCACCCATCTTAATAGACTGATGATGTTAACTATAGACGAGGATTGACAAGATTGTGTTGCTACTACTAATGTCGTATACAATGAGGTTTCAATAACGTGTTAATACAATCGGTGATATTATTTTTTTTAAATGACAAAATTGCTATATATCTAGACAAAAAAATATATTTTTCATACAAATGAATTAGGATAACAATTTATTCCTATAACTGAGTTGCTAAAGAATGAGCATGTTTGCCTAATTTATAAAAATACTAAATAATGATAAATAAAATTTTCAAAGTTACAGCACCGCATGCGTACATTTACAGATTAGCTATTAATTTGAGCAATTATTTGCTCAAATTCAAGCAATGATAACATCAAAACATTTAAACGATCCAAACCATATTTTCAATTGCACTATAATATTTGATATTCTAATTTAAATAATTATATATCAATTCAAATATTATTAATATATTACAATAAATTCATTCCGTGCATCGCACAAACGCAAATACTAGTGTGTGTGTGTTGGGGTTCAAGTGAGATATGACCTTAGGTGAGGATTGTGGATTTGTGTGATCCGTCAGATTAGAGAATCAAACGGTTAATATTGCACAAAGGGTAGATTAAAAACCCACTAAATGAGGTAATAACTTTAGAAGTAAATAATGTTAGTGGTAAAAAGGTAATTGAGAAATTAATTATGCATTAATGTGAAAGGAAGGGAGCGAAAAAACCGTGTCTTTTTTATTTAGGGTTAAAACAGCGAGGGTGAAAGAGAGGTGTCGGCATTGCACAGTGAACTCAACCAAATAACGGCCTGAAGAACAATTGTGAAGGGGCTTGCACACCATCGGAAGCAATGGCCAATGCAACACCTCGGAGAAGTCAACGGCGTGCATCCATTGAAGCGACAACTAAAATTCGTAAGAATCTCCGCCCAATTTTTTTTTTTTTTAATTTTTTTTTTATCGCAGAGCTGCCTGTAATATGCGATTCACTGACACTGGAATTGTATGTTTGTTTTTATTTAGTTAGTTTTTTTTTTGTGAATACAAAACCTTCCTTTCTGGGTGTGGCCGTGTGGGTGTTGTCAAGTGAATGTCACTTCGTGATAGTGACGGTGGGTATGGGAGGACCGGAGATTGACTGAGAAGGGGTTTGTGAATGCAGATTACGGGTTTTGTTTTTGTTTTTGTTTGTTTGTTTTTTTTTTTTTTTTTTTTTTTGGGGGGGGGGGGGGGGGGGGGGGGGTTGCAATTGTTTTGAATAAGAAATGCCGGTCATGGGGGTAGGAGTAGGCATATGTATGGGCGGTGTGACGTAGTTGGCCGAGAAGTGGCGGTGTGTGCAGTGAAAGTGTAAACACGGCTACGGAATGCACAGTAAAGCAGAGAACACAAGTTCTCTGCTAACTGTGCAGTGAAAGTAAAGAATGGAAAGCCGAGAGTGCATTTTAATACTATTTATTTATTTTTATTTGAATTTTTTGCTTGTTAATAAAAAATATGCCGATGTTGGAAAAAACGGACACAAAATGTCGTAGACCTGGACTACTGTTTTTTATAGGTTGAGTATGAAAGAATCCTGGGAGAATCGGTGACGTGCTCAAGACACTACCTTAAAAGCAAATATTGCCTGGGGACGGTTATAGTCTTACCGGTTGCTTTCGACCAGTTAACACCGAAGCTCATGATTGCAAAAGAGAAGAAGAGGAGAATAAGTTGAGTGATTAGAACTTAGGAAGAGCAGGGTATTTATAGTATTGGAAATACCCGCCCCTCCTCTCGCAGCCATTCGTTGTTCCGCGATTTTAGCTAGAGTTTGTGGTGTACATGCCCACAAAAATAGGAAGACTTATTCCAGCACAAATTAATGTGTGGATGGTAGATTTCTATATGAAATCTACCTCTAAAGGGGCAAAAAACTCGGAATTAAAACAAAGACCGGGTAAAATGTTGACCATACCGCGACGCGCGAACCGAGCCGTGCCGGGCGGGCGACGGCGGCGCGCGTGTGGGGTTCCCCTTTCCTTCTCTCTCTACAATAGTTTAAGTCTCCCAAATGGGTTGGTATTAAAAATGTGGGAAAGAGTCCCTTATTCTTCCAATGTGGGACAAGAGTGCCTTCCTTCTACTCCCAGGTAAGGCATGTACCTTAGCTTGCGAGTTTGGTGGACCGACTCGCAAAAGCCTGCAAAAAATTAGGCCTGAAAATTTTGCATGTGCATCCCTTGAAAAATGACTTCCCAAAAAGAGAAGGGGAGGTCATTTTCCCCCAAAACATACCTATTTTTCTTTGACTAATGCATCATTTTCCATTGACCTCATTTTCCCCCTTCTTACCAAACACTGAAAACTCGAAAAACATTTTTTGGAAATCATTTTCGGGTTTCCAAACGTACCCTTAATCGCCAATCGTTAATAACATATAATAAGTGTTAAAATATTTCTTAATTATAGATTATTTTGAACTAAATATGAATTTATCATAGCTTGTAAGGGCTTCCCCATTATGGGTTTCCATTTTTCTATGAAGAAAAAAAAATTCATTTGTCCTGATTTATCATCATTTTTGTTTAAAAAAAAAAGTAACAAATAAAAAAGCGCGCAGTGGACTCATGCATATCACGTATGCGGTGGATTCTCTCTCTCACCGAGCATATGTCTACTTTTACTAATACTTTTTTTTCTGTTTTCTATTGTATGAGGAAAAAAAACTCACTTTGATTTCTATGGATGGTGTTGCTAAAACAATAATAAAGCATAAGTACAAAATGATTACATATGTTTACATATTTCAAGAACTTATATAGATTTTATTGGATTTATATGATATTTTGATTTTGTTTTTATTTTTATTTTTATTTTTTTTTGAGAAAATTGTGTTTTTATTAATACACCAAAACACAACTCAAGTTGAATCACAAAAAACGCTAACTCCATGATGTCTTTAAATTCCTTCTGGACGGGCGGGTACTCAACATATAAGTGTTGGACTTAGAGTTGCTCATCGAACTAGAGTGGTATGAGTGACTTAAGTGGTAGCAAAAGTCTAGTATCTATTGATTAGTTATATATAATTCTGTAATAGCGTTTGGGGTGAGCAATTCCACCTTTTATCAAAGTCATCCAACATGGTAGCTCAAGTGGCAAATGAGCTCTCTTTGTGGGGTGAATTCCGGGATAACCCAGGTCCGATTCTCGTCACAAGTGACGATTCCTTTGGACCATCTCCTGTGTCTCTTGGAGCGAACGGACCAAGAAAGACCCGGACCACATTAAAGTGGTCGACACCAGCCATCCAATTTATGCAATTGTTAGCTTCATTATACGTTCTCCAATAAAACATCATTTAAAAATGTGGCACAGCTACCTCAAAGGCAATAGCCACTATTGTGAATTGTGATTAATGGCAACTGTGCACATCCATCACAAAGAGATAGCATTTCCATACAAATTTAGCATGATACAATTGTTTCGAAAGAGGCAAATGCATGTCTCACAAGCTTCAAAGCAAATCTGCTATAGGACCATACATAATGAGTATGAGTTGTAAAAGCATGCAAGCCCAATCTACAGTTGGGTTGCAAGAAATGTAATGATTCATGAATTTTCAACAGTTCAAGAACTCTAGATGGCAAAGACAAAATTATGATAGAATGGAGAAGATCATCCAGGCAACCAAGCTGGCAAATTTTTGTAATAAAAAAAAAAAAAAAATTAGTTATACCATAGGATAATAGCTTCAAGTACAATGGCACCGGCGTGGAACAGAAACTTCTGGAGGTTTCCTTTTCTCCCGGATGATAGCTTATTTGATTATGGGTAGTTTTTGGTGAACCTTTTACCATATGGAGTTCACAGCGCTATCTTGAGGTATGGGACCGATGCCACCTTGATGACCACTGTCAATCTGTCATAGTTGAAGATGGGCTGGAGCTGAGCCATATTGCGGCAAAACCTATCCTTCTGCACAGTTGAATAGCTCCTAAGATGGCTCACAAGCCAGCTACGAAGACAGAAAATTCTGAATAATCAATCATCCCTTCAAACGGGAGCTCAATAGGCACGGAACTCCTTGAACATGATCCTACTCGCACAGAAGTGACGAGTTGCTCCAGTGTCAATGATCCATTCTTCCGTGCCAGTCACCACATTTGCCTCCAGCGTCACAACCGCTGCTATGACTTCAGTCTCTTCCACCACGTTTGCTTGATGCTTGTTCTCTTGTTGAACGGTCCTTTGGTCGTTTGACCCCTTTCGTTGGTAGCATTGAGCCGCGCGATGACCGTTCTTCCCACAAACGTAACAAGGTCCTCCTTTCCCTTTCTTCTGGTTCTTGTTGTTTTTGAACTTGTTGTTATTGTTGACTTTGACTCCTCTTTTCCAGCCTTTATTTTGTCCACCATTTCTAGTTCTGGACCTATCACCTTTAACATCACTGGATTCAACCATGTTAGCTTTTAACGTACCAGAATTAGAAACAGACCTTTGTCGATATTCGTGCACTTGCTCGATAACTGGTTTCGTATCTACCATGCGATAGTTGAGCCACCGCCCAACCGTGTACTTTCTCCGGCCAGCATCATCAGCTCCATACTTCCTTTTGAGCATGTCCCAAATCTCCTTTGCGGATTTGTATTTTGCATATATGTCTAACAGGTTGTCAGACATGTGATGCAGCAGGAGATCGCGAACCGTTTTGTTGTCCCGCTCGAACTTAGCCCGGATATCTTGAGACTTGTCAACTGCGACAGGTGGTGGTGTGACAAACGCAGGGGTTCTAGGGGAGTCGTCCTCTGGTTGAGGATTAGTAGACTCAGCAGTTTTGGCTTCAGCAGGTTCAGGGACATACGTGAGAACGTATTCCAGCTCAGCAGATTCGATGTGTATGAGCATCTTGACTGCCCAACGACGGTAGTTTAGGCCGTCAAGAGGTTGAAGCTTGGCAAGGTCAGTTGCAGGCTTAGGTACGAAGGTCGACATGATAAGTGTATCCGAAGCTATTTGCTTTTAACTGTTGGAAAAAACGGACACAAAATGTCGTAGACCTGGGCTATTGTTTTTTATAGGCTGAGTATGAAAGAATCCTGGGAGAATCGGTGACGTGCGCAAGACACTACCTTAAAAGCAAATATTGCCCGGAGACAGTTATAGTCTTACCGGTTGCTTTCGACCAGTTAACACCGAAGCTCAGGATTGCAGAAGAGAAGAAGAGGAGAATAAGTTGAGTGATTAGAACTGAGGAAGAGCGGGGTATTTATAGTATTGGAAATACCCGCCCCTCCTCTCTCAGCCATTCATTGTTTCGCGATTTTAGCTAGAGTTTGTGGTGTACATGCCCACAAAAATAGGAAGACTTATTCCAGCACAAATTAATGTGTGGATGGTATGAAATCTACCTCTACACCGAAGCTCAGGATTGCAGAAGAGAAGAAGAGGAGAATAAGTTGAGTGATTAGAACTGAGGAAGAGCGGGGTATTTATAGTATTGGAAATACCCGCCCCTCCTCTCTCAGCCATTCATTGTTCCGCGATTTTAGCTAGAGTTTGTGGTGTACATGCCCACAAAAATAGGAAGACTTATTCCAGCACAAATTAATGTGTGGATGGTATGAAATCTACCTCTACACCGAAGCTCAGGATTGCAGAAGAGAAGAAGAGGAGAATAAGTTGAGTGATTAGAACTGAGGAAGAGCGGGGTATTTATAGTATTGGAAATACCCGCCCCTCCTCTCTCAGCCATTCATTGTTCCGCGATTTTAGCTAGAGTTTGTGGTGTACATGCCCACAAAAATAGGAAGACTTATTCCAGCACAAATTAATGTGTGGATGATATGAAATCTACCTCTAAAGGCGCAAAAAACTCGGAATTAAAACAAAGACCGGGTAAAACGCTGACCCTACCCCATCACACCGCGACATCCGAGTCGTACCGGGCGGGCGGCGGTGGCACGCGTGGGGTTCCTCTTTCCTTCTTTCTCTACAATAGTTCAAGTTTCCCAAATGGGTTGGTATTAAAAAGGTGGGAAAGAGTCCCTTATTCTTCCAATGTGGGACAAGAGTGCCTTCCTTCTACTCACTTGTTAAGACACCATCTTGAATGTAATCTCCAACAGCCGCAACCAGGCAACGGGAAGAGTAGTGTGTATTTGTGCATTTTAATACTGTGTGAGAGGGAAGATACATGGATGATGTTTGTAAATGGAGGGTAATAGGAAGCTAAACACGGCTTGCACTGCATATTTATTCCCAAAAAAAATATACTTTGTTGGTTGTGCATTGACAATGAAAGGTAGAAAGGAAAGGTGTTGTGTAGAATGTATAGTAGGAGGGTATTGTGTTCAGTTTAGGGGAATGTAGCATAAGTAAAGTCATGTATGGGATGCTGAAACAGGAAAAAATAAAGAGTTTGTGCAGTGTGAGTTTTGAGAGAAAGGTTAGCAATGAAAATGTTACAAAGTGTGTATAACCAGAAGTGGTAAAAGTTTAAAATGGAAAAAGTAAGAAAAAAAGTATAGTTTAAGTGATGGGGGGAAAGTATCAGTTGGTGTGGTAAAAGAAGTGAGCATGGTGGTATTAGAAACGTGTGCAAGAATAAAAGGAATATGTGGGTTGCATAATGTGCAATTGATGAATTTTAATGGTCATTGTGCATAAAAGGAGTTGGTCTTTGTGCAATCAACTATATAGAATGTGCATCTATGCCTGGAATACTAGTGCATGCATTAACTATCTTTCTGTGTAATGGTAGTGGTTTTCAGTGTGTATTCATTACAGTATACAATGTGCATTCGTATGTATAGCGTGCATTTTGAATATACAGTAGAATGAGTGATTTGGCATGATAGTCCGGGATGCATAGTCGAATTGAATTACTAATTATATTTATGTTATGCAAGCAGAAGGACATGGTGGGTACTTTTCTAGATGATGTCCGAGACTATGAGAGAGCAGCGAGAGTTCTATTGCTGGAGCTAAAAAGAATGCAAATGCGTTGGAGGGATATGAAGAAGTTTTGATGAATTGGCCAAGATTCAATTGAATGTAATAATTTATTTTACTACTACTTATGTTTGAAAGTGCCACGAACTATGTAGACAACCATGTGACTATTTAATTTTGAAAGTCTTAGACTATTAAATATGCTAATTTTGATAAGGAAAAATGAAATTCAGATTGAATATTAAACATGTTTACTTTTTTTGGAAGTGCAACTAGTGTGCTTATACTAAGGTTTATAATTTTTATGAGGGAAGTTATTTTGAATGTGAAAATTGTTATGCGTGGTGTCATTTTGAGTAGAGTTCATGAACACTTTGAGAAACTCCCAAAAGGATTGGAATTAATTAAAGTGGTGGGATGAATTTTGTTATATTCGGTAATGAAATTGCCATTGAAGATGCGAAATTGAAAGCTATAATACATGAAGTCCAAGTTTTTAAAGTAGTAGAATATGTACTCAATATAGCGGAATCAAAATCAAAACTGAAAGTGTCCAGAGGTGCACCCGCGTGGTGTTACATGGTGCAAGCATAAAGAATCAACGTGTGACACTGCACCCAATAAGTTATTCATTGTGCAAGGAAGGTATAAAATGAAGTAAATTAATTGAACCGCACTTCAAACACGGTGTTTTAAAAAAAAAAAAAAAAAAAAAAAAAAAAAAAAAAGCCACCACAATAAAGGTACATGGAAGTTAAGCAAAAAATGAAATTGTGTTAAACCAAAAATAATAAATTAAATTCGTGGTCAAATTACGTTTGCGACTTTTCCTTGCCCAGGGGCAGGTACGACTGTTATGGCCGTAATCATCACATGTGTGACATTGTCATTGACGACATTTGGACTTCTCCACAGCTAACTCCCTAGTGCTTTTGAACCGTTTGCCACAGCATTTGTTATTAGAGTGAGAAGGAGGACGAATGGCAACTTGGTCTACAGCCGAAGTACCACAAAAACTGTTGTCAGAAATGCACATTGTTGCATTGCTTTCGCACAAACGAATAAAAAATGGTTGACGAAAAAGCTAAAACGACAATGATTCAAACCTACGCAGACACACATTGCACGAAATGCTTTGGCTAAAAAACAAACACCATAGACATACGATAATGGGCAAAATCCAGCAAACTATAACTACAAATCAAACATAAATTTTCAAAAAGCAACAAAAACAATATTAAATACTGGTATTTTTAACACATTATATATGAGTCAAAAACCAACAACGAACAAACAACAAAAATTCGATGCACAAACGTAATAGTTCTGAATGCTCACTGCTGTGAAAAAAAAAAAAAAAAAAAAAAAAAGAATGCACTACAAATGAACAAAAAAAATGAACCGCCACAGTTTAGATATATGAAAACCATTATTCCCAACAAAAATAATCATTACAATAAATAGATTAAAAAACAATAAACCACGCCGGTAGATAATAACACAATGACAGTAAAGACTGCACGCATCGAGAACCCAAAACCAAAATGTACCCCACCACAACCACAACGCTTATCTTAAACCTTAGCACATAATTATGCACAAAAACAATAAATAATGATGCACAATAAATATATATTAAAAACAAACGAAAACACAAACCTTGAGAATCCATAGCCTAAAGCGCATAGAGAATAAAGCAAAAAAAAAAACAAAAAAAATCCCTAATCTTTGTCAAAACACAGTATATAGAAAGATGTAAGCTGAATCACCATATGAATGAAAAATATCTTTAATTGCCAAATTTAATTCACCTAAAAATAAGCAGATCAGCCGAAAAGAAAAAACAAATAAAGGAAAAAAAATTGCAAAGTCTAAAAAGCCCCTAAACTAAAGTGACAGTAAAAATGGAAAAAATCAATCCAAAACTAGATGAAAAAATAATAGCCATAGATTAAACTAAAATCAAAGGTCAAAATTCGTCCACATTCCACGTGAGAAACATGACCTTATTTGATCCCCAATAAATAAATAAATATATATATATATATATATATATATATATATATATATATATATATATATATATATATATATTGTTACACAGCAAGGCAGCGTACTTAACCCTAACATATGTTACAGTGTAACATATGTTTTTTTTTTTTTTTTTTTTTTTTGCGCGGGCTACGGGTCAATTCCGACCCTTCCCATTAGACCTGCAATTTTCGCACCTATTTTTCAATGACCCTAACCCGCCCCACTGTGGGGTGGAGGGCAAATTATGTTGTGCATCCGTATGCACCATGCATGGTGCATATGGATTCAAAAACGATGTCGTTTTGCATCAAAACACGCGTCCTACTTAAAAAAAAAAAATCAATTTCGATTCCCAGCAACATTATTTTGTTCATTTTTTAGTTCATTCATTCTGAATTTTTAGTTTTGAAATTATGGATATGTAGGTGTGCAATTCTGGATTTATAGTTATGAAATTATGGATGTGTAATTATATATGCATGGTGTAGTTATGCAATTCTGGATTTTATAGTTATGAAGTTATGGATGTATAGTTATGCAACTCTGGATGTATAATTATGCAATTCTGGATGTATAGTTATGAAGTTACGGATGTGTAGTTATGCAATTCTGGATTTATAGTTATGAAATTTTGGATGTGTAGTTATGTAATTCTGGATGTATAGTTATGAAATTATGGATGTGTAGTTATGCAATTCTTAATTCTTTTTTTTTTTTTTAAGTTAGACATTAAAACGACGCCGTTTATGCATCCGTATGCACCATGCACGGTGCATACGGATGCACAACATAACGATTGGGGGTGGAGGCGGGCAAACCGGCAGGCTTCGGCCCACTTTGGCAGTACTATGTGTGTGTGTGTATATATATACATTTTAAAAAATATTGTTTTAAAAAAAAATTTAAATATGAAAAAGTTAATATTATTTGTAGGCTTTATTTTTTTTTTTTTTTGAACTTTGAATTCAATATATATATATATATATATATATATATATATATATATATATATATATATATATATATATATATATATATATATATATATATATATATATACAGCGGGTCCCGTCAACCCGCATGGGACGGGCTTTGGTTGCATGTACCTTAGCTTGCGAGTTTGGTGGACCGACTCGCAAAAGCCTGCAAAAAATTTGGCCTGAAAATTTTGCATGTGCATCCCTTGAAAAATGACTTCCCAAAAAGAAAAGGGGAGGTCATTTTCCCCCAAAACATACCTATTTTTCTTTGACTAATGCATCATTTTCCATTGACCTCATTTTCTCTCTTCTTACCAAACACTGAAAACTCGAAAAACATTTTTTGGAAATCATTTTCGGGTTTCCAAACGTACCCTTAATCGCCAATTGTTAATAACATATAATAAGTGTTAAAATATTTCTTAATTATAGATTATTTTGAACTAAATATGAATTTATCATAGTTTGTAAGGGCTTCCCCATTAGGGGTTTCCATTTTTCTATGAAGAAAAAAAAATTCATTTGTCCTGATTTATCATCATTTTTGTTTTAAAAAAAAGTAACAAATAAAAAAGCGCGCAGTGGACTCATGCATATCACGCATGCGGTGGATTCTCTCTCTCACCGAGCATATGTCTACTTTTACTAATACTTTTTTTTCTGTTTTCTATTGTATGAGGAAAAAAAACTCACTTTGATTTCTATGGATGGTGTTGCTAAAACAATAATAAAGCATAAGTACAAAATGATTACATATGTTTACATATTTCAAGAACTTATATAGATTTTATTGGATTTATATGATATTTTGATTTTGTTTTTATTTTGATTTTTATTTTTTTTTGAGAAAATTGTGTTTTTATTAATACACCAAAACACAACTCAAGTTGAATCACAAAAAACGCTAACTCCATGATGTCTTTAAATTCCTTCTGGACGGGCGGGTACTCAACATATAAGTGTTGGACTTAGAGTTGCTCATCGAACTAGAGTGGTATGAGTGACTTAAGTGGTAGCAAAAGTCTAGTATCTATTGATTAGTTATATATAATTCTGTAATAGCGTTTGGGGTGAGCAATTCCACCTTTTATCAAAGTCATCCAACATGGTAGCTCAAGTGGCAAATGAGCTCTCTTTGTGGGGTGAATTCCGGAATAACCCAGGTCCGATTCTCGTCACAAGTGACGATTCCTTTGGACCATCTCCTGTGTCTCTTGGAGCGAACGGACCAAGAAAGACCCGGACCACATTAAAGTGGTTGACACCAGCCATCCAATTTATGCAATTGTTAGCTTCATTATACGTTCTCCAATAAAACATCATTTAAAAATGTGGCACAGCTACCTCAAAGGCAATAGCCACTATTGTGAATTGTGATTAATGGCAACTGTGCACATCCATCACAAAGAGATAGCATTTCCATACAAATTTAGCATGATACAATTGTTTCGAAAGAGGCAAATGCATGTCTCACAAGCTTTAAAGCAAATCTGCTATAGGACCATACATAATGAGTATGAGTTGTAAAAGCATGCAAGCCCAATCTACAGTTGGGTTGCAAGAAATGTAATGATTCATGAATTTTCAACAGTTCAAGAACTCAATTCTGATAGAATGGAGAGGATCATCCAGGGAACCAAGCTGGCAAATTTTGGTAATAAATAAAAAAATAGCATAGGATAATAGCTTCAAGTACAATGGCACCGGCGTGGAACAGAAACTTCTGGAGGTTTCCTTTTCTCCCGGATGATAGCTTATTTGATTATGGGTAGTTTTTGGTGAACCTTTTACCATATGACCTTGATGACCACTGTCAATCTGTCATAGTTGAAGATGGGCTGGAGCTGAGCCATATTGCGCCAAAACCTATCCTTCTGCACACTTGAATAGCTCCTAAGATGGCTCACAAGCCAGCTACGAAGACAGAAAATTCTGAATAATCAATCATCTCTTCAAACGGGAGCTCAATATTGTCGCTAACAATGACAGGGATACACAGACTTTGGATGGCATCGCATAGTCTGCATGATGTGGGTGTATCTCCCACTGGGTGCAAGCAGAACTCTGACGTTCCGGTGGCATTTGGAAAACCTTCTTCCATTACTACTCCATGCTCATTAACCAGCAAGTCGCATAGTTTTTCTCGAACAGGCCCTCCATGTAGGTTGTTAGAAGACAATCAAGCTCAAGCTGAAAACAAGACTTAATCTTTTAGTCTTTCAGGTTTTATTGTGCCTAGCTGTTAAGTTAGTTAGAAGCAGTTAAAACTGTTTTTACTATTCACAGTTTGTTACTTAGTGATCTCAGCAAAGTAGTTAGCTTTCTTTTCTTGCTCTAAGACTCTCTGTATATAAGCTGTAAGCTACCCCTTCTCTAAGATGATGATAATAAAAACCTTTCCTCCAAATCCTTTCACCTCTCTTTCTTGTTATGGTATCAGAGCTCTAAATGCTCAACAATGGAGTGGACGTTACCATCAACCAATGCAGTACGACCACCAGGAACCTCAAATTCAATACCTCACCCAAATTCCACTGAGAATCCAATCCCTAACCTAATTCCGACACCAATAGGATCCAAAGCTGCTGTGAATGAACCTATTTTCAACCCCAATGACACCATCAGTCCCTATCACCTCCATGCCAACGAGAATCCATCACTTGAATTGGTATCAGCTGCGTTGGATGGAAGCAATTATCATGAATGGGCACATGCGATGAAAATTGCTTTATCCTCAAAGAACAAATTCAGTTTTGTCAATGGAACTATCAAGGCACCAAATGCATATGATCCCAAGTATTTCTTCTGGGATCGTTGCAACAACATGGTAGTGTCCTGGATAGCTTGAGTCCTATCTCTAACAATTGCTCGAAGCGTGTTGTGGATTGATACGGCAGAAGGAGTATGGCTAGATTTGAAGAAGAGGTTTAGTAAACAAGACGTATTCTAAATAGCAGAAATCAAGGCCAAGATCTATCAAACCAAGCAAGGTAACAGTGATGTAAATGAGTACTTCACTAAATTGAAACTGCTTTGGGATGAACTCTTGATTTTAAGGCCTGCTCCTAACTGCATTTGTGCTCAGAAGTGTAAATGCAGTGATGAATTTATGCACAAAACTGCTATTAATGTTGAGAATGACATGTTGTGTGCTTTCTTGATTGGTCTTGATGACAAGTACACTGGGGCAAGGAATCAAATAATGTTAATGAGGCCCTTACTAGAGGTAGGAGAGGCTTACTCTATGATATCCCAGCAAGAAAGGCAGTTCTGCTTGGGTATCAATCCTATTAATCCTTTTGGGAACCTCACCGATAATGTAGCAGGCAGTGCCATGTTCACCAGAGGAGAAAGACAACACTCTAATACCAAGCCTAGGGTGGTATGTAGCTATTGTGGCTTCACATGACATACTATAGAGAAATGCTATAAAAAGCATGGATATCCTCCAGGGTGGAAACCTAGAGGAAAGAATGTTAGATCAGCCGACCAAGTTCAACAAGTTCAGAGCAACACACAAGAGGCCAGTAATAATGAGTTCCAAGATGGTTACAGAAAATATCTAGAGTTTCTTGAATATGTACAGAAGGAAAGACATACTCCCCTGGACACTGGCTTTGCATCTCAAAAGCCCCAAGCAAACTTCATAGCTGCATCACAGTCAGATCAAGTCCCTCATATCAGTATTGTCTCAGCCAATTTTATCCCAAGTACAGAAAAAGGTAAGGCTACTTCCTATCATGTCAATAAATATAGAAATCAGTGGATTATTGACAGTGGTGCCACACACCATATAGTGTGTGACAAAAACCTACTCACAAATTCTAGTAGGACTCATGGAAAATATGTAGCCTTACCTAATGGAGACAAGGTTGCAATCACACATATTGGATCTGTTCCAAACTTCCAATGTTTCAATACAATCTAATATCGATAGGGGAATTGGTCAGGTCCTCAAACTGTCAAGTAATGATGAACTCTAACAAGTGCATAATACATGACCTACATCTTGGGAGGATGATTGGCACTGCTGAGCTAAGGGATGGTTTATATTACCTAGCCCCATCAGAAGACATTTCCATACATTGTGCACCTCTAGTCAATCTAGTAAACAATAACATCTGGCATATTAGACTAGGGCATGCTTCCTATTGAAAATTGAGATTGTTGCAATCTCTAAATGTAAATGTAAATGTGAATGCTGAAAAAGGTGATGTATGTGATTGCTGCCATATGGCCAAATAGAAAAGGTTACCATTTTATAACAGTCAGTCTTCTACTTCAGAATGCTTTCAACTTGTACACATGGATATCTGGGGACCATATCATGTTAAAACTATGCTTGGAGTCTTGGACATCAATATTTTCTTACCATTGTAGATGATTTTAGCAGGAATACATGGGTGCATCTCATGAGAGCAAAGGATGAAGTAAAACAACTCATACAAAGTTTCTGTGCTATGGTATACACTCAGTTTGGAAAGAGGGTAAAATGTTTGAGATCAGACAATGGAAAAGAATTCACAATGTCAGAGTTCTATTCACAGACAAGGATATTACATCAAACCTCCTGTATATACACCCCCCAACAAAACAGTGTAGTGGAAATGAAGCATGGTCACATTTTGTCCACAGCCAGAGCTTTAAAAACTCAAGCCAACCTGCCTAATTATTTTTGGGGAGAGTGCATTTTACATGTTGTATACATAATCAATAGACTACCTTCTGCATATTTCTGGGAACAGCTTTGATTTCTTGGAAGGCAAAGAAACAATTAACTATGTCAAGGTCCTCCTCAGAGGCTGAATATAGGGCAATTGCTGCAACCTTTTGTGAGATTCAGTGGCTATGTTACTTGTTGAAAGCCTTGGAAGTTAATCTTCATACACCTGCTGTTATGTTCACTGATAGCAAGTCAGCAATAGCTATAGCTGAAAATCCTGTGTTCCATGAAAGAACAAAACATATTGAGCTAGATTGTCACCTCATAAAGGAAAAATTGCAGAGTGGAGTAATCAAGCTGCTACATGTTTCATCCCAAAGTCAGCTAGCTAATGTGTTCACCAAACCTCATTCTCCATCAAGTTTCATGTCCTACATATCCAAGTTTGGCCTACATAATATGTATGATCCAGCTTGCGGGGATGTTAGAAGACAATCAAGCTCAAGCTGAAAACAAGACTTAATCTTTTAGTGTTTCAGGTTTTACTGTGCCTAGCTGTTAAGTTAGTTAGAAGCAGTTAAAACTGTTTTTACTATTCACAGTTTGTTACTTAGTGATCTCAGCAAAGTAGTTAGCTTTCTTTTCTTGCTCTAAGACTCTCTGTATATAAGCTGTAAGCTACCCCTACTGTAAGATGATGATAATAAAACCTTTCTTCCAAATCCTTTCACCTCTTTCTTGTTATAGGTAGAAACATAAACAAAAGTTGGGCACACAGAAAACAAAACTGGATTCAGGGCCAAATCTATGGCTATAAATTGAAAAATTATATCATATAAATTCTTATTATATACTCAATTAATACTAATTTTTCCCAAATATTTAATATTCAAAATTCTGGATCAGCTACTGGCTGGATTCAATTGGTTTTACCAAGAAACAAAGTATGATGGATGAAAATGAGCAGAGTTGGGGTGTGCTTTGGTTAAATAAAAGCCTAGGTCGGTATTCTAGAATTACATATGAACCTACAATTATTCAAACATATTAATACTTACAAGTTTATAAAATGTTATAAATAGTTCATAACAAGTTCAATTCAAACATAATAACTAGTCTAGAATCACACAAAAATCAATATCATAAGTCCCCTGAAATTTTTTTACCCCATTCCCAGTTCCCACACAGCTTTCCAACATCTCTCAATTATGGTAAGGAGTTGAATCCCAACTTTGGAGGCTTTCTTTGAGCCACAAATTTTCAAAAATGAACCTATAAGTAGTTACGCCGCCTTGAAGTAGAGATATTTAGGTGGAGATACAGTGCGAGATGATTGCTCTTCGAAGCTTCAACCGATGTAGCCCTAGTGTTCAGAAATCAGAGGTTAAGATCCTATCTAATTTGGCTTAAATCCAGTTTTGTGAACCCCTCCATTTCTCCAGTGTATTGGTTAATTGGTATCTCCCTGGAATTCGAAGTCCCTTAGACTGCTTCCCTCAACTGCTGCCCTGAAACCTTTTATGAGCCAATTGGGTTGGGGGTTTCCTCCACGTTTTTCTGCAGACTTAAACTACACTTTTTGCTACAATCTAATTAGCTTCCTAGTTTTGGTCTTACAGCTGCTAGGACAAGGTAAGTTTGTGAAAATAGTTATGAACTAAAATAACACAATGACCAATTGGGGGGAGGGGGCATCTAATATGCTTACCATCATATCATATCATTAACAAATGGAAGTTGTTTTATTCCATCAATAAAATAAAAGAAAGGTGGAACTTTCTCCCCGGCCTTCAGATTACAGAATGTAAATCCCAAAACGGGTAGACGAATAAAACAATACTTTTAGAAATGTAACTAAATAAAATTAGATTAATACCTACCATATAAAATTAATGAAACAAGAAAGAACGTTTTTTTTGTTGTTCGAATAGAGATGACGGGAGGATGTGAGAAAACTCTATATCTACCTTTCACCCTTTTTTTTCTATGAATTCCCGAGAGTATTTTCATTATCTGCAATTATAGCATGTAAAGATATTAGGATGAGAAGAAAAAGAAGATCCAAATTCAACATTATTGATACAACTAACTATAATCCAAAGAAAATGTGCTAGCCTTATATGCCTATATAATAAGAAGCTAGCTAAATTAAGGGGAGCAATTATAAGCTAAGGTAAGGAACTAGAATGAGAAAAACAGGCATAGAAAGAAAGATATTGGAACTACTGTTTAACTACTACTTACTTTGAATTTTGCTGGTTAGTGGTGGTACTGGTGTTGGCCACCACTGATCAGTAAGCCAATGGACAATCCCATTAGCAACCCACCACCCAGAAGAAGAAGAAGAAGAAGAATTGGTCCAATAAAAAGTACCCCCGTTTGTGTAGGAAAATCCTGTCTCTCTAATTTTAGGATCAAGATTAATTATAAGATCAGGATCCGGGAGACGCGGAGTTGTTCTAAGGCGAAGTTTGTGCACCAAACTCCACTTCCCCATGTTGTAGTCCTGCAGCTCCCATATATAATATACGGGATCTTCTAACCAAATACCCCACACATATGTTACACGAATACGATCATGAAATAGTCCAATGGTTTGGGGGCCGATATCTGCAGCTATCATATCAGCTGGCATATCAATATCAATTACACGGGAAAATCTTTGGGGACAATTATAGGGATCATACACAAGAACAAACCCAGAAATGAGCCAATGTAGCAACCCTTTATAGGCGACAAGAGTTGTAGAAGAAAGGACTCGATACCTTACGGCCCGAGGTGATGAAACCATAAGACTTTTCCATTCACCTTCCTCAGACAAGAAGAGTTGAGCTTTGAATTCGAACTGGGAATGGATGGGACTAACTGGAATAATACAAATTCGAACCACCATAAATTTATAGGGAGAATTGTTGTGGGTGGTGCAAAGGGAACAGGGCGCAGGAACGCAAAGGAAGCCAGTGGCAATTGCGACCCACCTTCTGTATTTCAATTGAAATTGTGGGGCAGGAGGAAGAGCAACCCACTGATTGGTTAGCGGATTACAGACATAATAGAATATGGTTTGGGACATGGGGCAGGTGGAGGTCCGGGTGGAGCATAGAATTAAATCAGCACACGAACCCACCACTCTAATGCTGCTTTGGGGACAGGGAAGGAAACTTAAATCGAGTCTGTGAAAGCCGCCGCCGCGAACCAACAAACCGCAGTCATGTGCAGTTTGGAATATAAAGCAGCCAGACGAAGATGAGGGATGAGGAATTGGCGGAAGGGATGGGTCATGGCGTCGGTGATGGAAAAAAGTAATGAAATACTGAGAAGAGATAAGAGAACACCAGCTCTTGCATACCAATTTCAATTCAATAACTGCTCTGTTGGGAAGCCTGCCCAGGATTTCAACTAACAAACCCTCGCCCAGATTACTGAAGAAATCGGAGGAATCTGATAATTTCATCAACTTCGCGTCCTCACGCCGATCCATGCCCCTGCGTACGATCTGTGATACCAATTCTCCCAAAACCTTGCAAACCAATCGCACTTTACCTATCAATTTGGTGAGAGTTTCAGAGACAATATTCACTTCACCTATCCATCCAAACGGGTTCAACTTTCAATCGGTATAACTTATAAGATGACCATGCTCCAAATTATATCGTGCACAAGGACCCAAAACGACATCGTTTCTATGAATTGGGTGAGTCGAGGCGATGATATTTGTTCGTCCGTTCAATCCCGTTACAATTTTATTTTTTTGTATTTACATGGATTATATTAAGAGTTTATGTATAATTATGTTAAAAGTTTATATGTATTATGTTAAAAGTTTATGTGTATTCTGTCATTATGTTTAAGAGTTTATGCATATTATGTATTATGTTAGATTATGTGTATTATGTTAGGAGTTTATGTGTATTCTACCATACAATTCTGTATATACAAAACAATGAATTTTTGGCGCCCCGGTGCACGATATAACCATTGTGAAAAGACAGCTATTTTTTAGGTTGGTCCTAATCATTTTATAAGTAAAACAAAACAAACATATATATATATAAAGTTAATACTCTTTCTGTATCATTTTATGTGTCTAGTTCGATTAACGATGCTTGACTTAAGTTATTTTTATTTTTAATTTTTCATAATATTAAGTTTAGTATTAGTATATAAAATTTATATATTTAAAAATAATATTAAACACAAAAAATTAAATTTAAAATAAGTAAAAGATACTAAAGAAAATAAACAAATAATAAAAAGTTTATTTGACCAATGAATAGTAAGTAGGATAAATAAAGTAATGGGACAGAATGAGTATTATTTTTATGTTTAAAATTTAAATTATAAAAAAAATACTTGTTCTATTAAATAACTTGAAACAATATTTATAAGTTTTTTAAAAAATTATATACACTGGGGAAGGGAAGGAGTTTTTTGCACTTGTGGTCCCACGACTATGGTGTCACTAACAACTTTGATCCACGACTTTTAAAACTTGTAGAATTGATCCATGACTATAACTTTTTTAGCAAATTTGGTCCTTCCGGTGTATTTTCTGTTCAATTTTACTGGAAAATTTTACTCCACATTTTGGCAAATTTACTCCCATGTTAAAATAGGAGTAAAATTTTCTGGCAAAAATTGAATGGAAAATGTACCGGAATGATCAAATTTGCTAAGAAAGTCATAGTCATGGACCAATTCTACAAATTTTAAAAGTTGCGGATCAAAATTGTTAGTGACACCATAGTCGTGGGACTAAAAGTACAAAAAAACTCGGAAGGGGAGCCTTGGGGAACTTTACAGTCAGCTCTGCGGTTGGGAAGGCTGCTGCTCCGAAGGCCTCCCAAGTAAAATAACGGCTTGGTGGATTTGGAGATGGAGAAATGGTGCTATCTTCAACTCCATAGTGAAACCTCTGCTGTTCAAGAGAGATCGAGTGGTTAAAATCCCAGGTTGATGAAGTTAACAGAGCCTTTGCAAGAGCGAATGGAAGGGGCGGAAAACCTCAAAAGAACTGGCCACATGGAGCAAGTTGTGTTGGTCCAAGCCACAGGCTGGATTTGTAAAGATGAATGTAGATGGTGTGGCGAACCAGGACTTCTCAAGAGCAAGTGGTGGCGGCGTGCTATGCAATGAGTCTAGAGAATGGGTGCATACATCACTTCTTTAATTTAAAATTATGTGTCAACAATGTCTTTATTAAAAAAAAAATTATTTATTATTAATAAATTAATTAAGAGAAATAATTTCATTAGTTATATTGCCTTTATTTTTCTCCAATTTAAAAACTATTTACATTAAAATTCATCAATTGATTATATTCACTATATTGTCTATTATCTTTTTTGGTACACTATTGTTTAATTAAATATCAAAGTTATAATACAAAATAATGCTATATATTTATTTACCTATTAATACCATGAAAATATATATATATATATATATATATATATATATATATATATATATATATATATATATATATATATATATAATTGAGTCAATCATATTAACTACTTGGGAGATTCGTTGACAAATAGAGTATTCAAATCACACAACAAATTGAAGTGGGAAACTACCCCACAATGTCCTTGTTTGGCAATCAGCCGTTAGCGGTTAGCGTTAGCGGATTGTGTTAGCAGTTAGCAAATAGTGAATTATATTAACGAGTTTGACCATCGAATTATATCAATGGTTGGTAAAATGATATTTGAAAAAATTAACTGTTTAGATTAACATGTAAAATGACCTAATATATTTCATAACAATAATAATAATAATAATAATAATAATAATAATAATAATAATAATAATAATAACAACAACAACAATAATAATAACAATAATTAAATAAAAGAATTAAAATTTAAAATTAAAAAAAAAAAAAAAAAAAAAAAAAAAAAAAAAAAAAACATATGGGGAGTTGAACGTTCGACTCCCCTTAGTTTTGCCACTTTTCCCACATCGGTGGGAAAAGTGGCATGGAAGCCTTGAGGCCTCAAGTCTCCAATTTAAAAATTAAGCTTGCCCATCCGTTGATGGGAAAACAATGAGCTAGCTAAAATGACTCTTGTTATTTAAGGAGTCGAAATGGCCCTACAGTAAACATTTTTTAAAAAAAATACCGGGGCGCTTTGGTGAAATCATTCTCCAAAACGCTAAGTGAAAATATTGTAAATTACCGTGTTTGTATTTTCAGTGATTTGGAACAAATTGTTACTCCAAACTGTTGAATGATCAAACACTTTCTTTAGCATTTTGATTTTTGGGTTACATCATATTTATCAACCGTCCAGAACTAAATGAACACTGAGCAAAACACTTAAAGGACTGGTAACGTTGATTCATTCATTGATCTTGTATGTGCATTCATTAAATATATTAGAACCCTTTGCAACAAAAATACTTGGTTACTATTTTTAAAAAGTTTAGTGACAATTATAATGAATCTATTATATTATCTTATATTCATATAGTATGAGTTACATATTTAAATAAACAAATTCAACATTAAATTACTTATGTATGGACTTTTTATATATAATCTTGCATTGATATACTTTCAAATATTTATTTAATTATAAACATTGAGCATTAACTCATTTGCGCAATGCGCATGTAAAACTAGTACCTGTAATATGTGAGAATGCTGATGTAACTTTATAAATAAAAAAAATTATATACACAATAATAATCATGATTTAAAAGTTTTAAGTATTTTTCTAAAAGCAAAATAATTAATAGTTGTACAATGTTTTCATAAATAAATAATTGTAGTTTATAAAAATGAATTAAAAAATTTAAAATTAAATAAACTTACAAACAATAACCTTGTCTATCTACCTCTATAATAAGGCAATAATTTCTTGGAATACATTTTCCCGCCCAGTGAAAACGACTCTGTTTTGAGCTAATACTGACTGCCGGAATAATAAATGCATTTTACAATACATTTGTGATGCTGTAACACCCCATTTTTCTAACTCTTAAACACCAATCTAAACCACAATTATCATAAACTAAGCAGCGGAATTAATAACTAAAAAGATAACTAGTGGGAATGTCACCGCCACAACCACCACTCCGTGGTGATTGCACAGGCTAAGGGGTAGAACTAGAAATAAAGTAAATATCTAACATCCATATTAAATACTGAAAAACATAAGGGGGAAAAAGTCACCCCAAAAGTCTACATCCTCAAAATCTACAAATCAACATGAGTCTAAAATCTGGATAATAAAATCATCAACAAAACAAAAGAGTTTAGACATCTCAATCTACGAGACTAATCTAACTCGATCACTTCTCACTGTTGGGCCCACCTGAAAGGGGTTTTGCAAGCAACACATAGACAAATAGGAAAACACCCGTTAGCACGAACCTAAGTATAACCACACTCAACCCTGTAAAGTACTATAACATATACTTTGAAAACATTTGATTTCTCTTGTAAACAACAAACTCATCTCAAAACATCTTTAGATCTAACACATACTTTCTAGATGCTTGCAACCTATAATATCAATAGGCATGCTTATATATATAAGACTGAACACTTAGATACTTCAACATATAAACTTCTCAATTAACTTAACAAGCAACTCATGCTCACATGTAGGATCATGCTAATAAACCATACAACAAGTATTCTCATGCTCTCAAATTCTCATCACATAAACTTGTTATACAAGGCTTCAAATGTAACTAAATAATCATGCTCGATGAATAATCTTAAATCAACATTCTCATTATGTAATCTCATGCGATACTCTACTCAAATGCAATCTCGTGCAATACTATAACCATACTCATATGCAATCTCGTGCAATACTATAATCATACTCATATGCAATCTCGTGCAATACTATAATCATATGCAATCTCGTGCAATACTATAAACATATGCAATCTCGTGCAATACCATAATATACTCATACACTCTTTATAAAAATAGAGTACTTTCTGTGGATGTCTCTTTCTTACTTTCTTTCTTACTTTTGAGTCTCTCTTGACTCGCTTTCTTTCTCTTGAGTCTCTCTTGACTCACTTTCTTTTCTCATCGCTCGTAGACGGCTCAGGGTTTCACCGTAGCGTGAATTGCCCCATCGTGAACGGCGTAAATCCGACCCAATATCTCCTACAGTCTACGGAACCAATCTCGTGGTTCACGCGCTGTGGAATTAGGTATCGAACTATCAGTGTGCACACCCCCTGACCAGGATTCCAAGCCTGGCGGGCAGTTTCCAACCTCGTAACGGAATACACCACGTTACATGTACTGGGACCGCAATGTCCATAAATATCTCCCGAGAGGACATAGTCCAAACGGTATCCTTCAAAACCTCACCAATAGATAATACATAGATATATCTCTCATGCATCAATCTCATGCGTGCAACAACTTCTCAACTTTTCAATGCATCAAATAATGATGTACCACATGCTTATGGATTTTTTTTTTAGTAATACTTGGGCTCAAGTTGGCTCCTTTATGCATTTTTGAAATATGACATATGTGAGATGCAAAATACTCTATAACATTCTTCTAAACCATGTTTATAAACCATAAAATACTCAAGGATATAA